TAAAATTCACTAGGGCTGTCCAGGGCTTTTTGGGGTGGGGTGGGGCGTTGATTACCCGTTACAGGTCTACTCAGATTTTCTGTTTCTTCATGATTCAGTCTTTGTAGGTTGTATGTTTCTAGTTTATACATTTCATCTAGGTTATCCAGTTTGTTGGCATACATTTGCTCACAGTACTCTTACAATCCTTTTTATTTCTGCAAAATCAGTTATAATATTTCTGCTTCCATTTCTGGCATTATACATGTTCTGACTTAGCAGGCTCTGACTTACAGAAGCTGCAGTTTTCACTCAGTGCCTCACTCCTCTATCTTCCAATAAAATTAAATCCTCTTTGCGTAAGTTAATGTTGTATTACCTAATTAGGATACTACCACAGATACTTCCCAGTGTCTCCAGTATATAGAACCCTCTGAATACTATTTTTCATACAAACAAATCAGAGGAATTTTCGGTTTCTTGTTATTTTCCTGTGAAGACATTCCTTCTAAAGTCCTCTGACCTCCTGCTCCAGTCCATACTGATTGCTCTGTAAGCCTGCTGTGCAGCTGTCATCCTTTACTTCTCTCTTGTTTTAGATTCTTTGTTTCCTTGAGTTCCTATTGGTTTTTTTCCCTTAAAAAAAGTAAATAACATGTTCCAATAGCTTCCAAAGAAAGGGTGCATCAGAGGCAAATTGTTTTTAGACCTTACGTATCTAAACATGTCTTTATTTACACCCACATGATTGATAGTTTGGGAATAGAAATCTAAATTGGAAATAACTTTACTTCAGAATATCGAGGCATCATTTTATTGCCTTCCAGCTTTGAGAAGGCATTCACACCTTGGTCCTTGTAGGCCCTTTTCTCTCATTCTCTCCTGCCTTTACTGCCTTCCCCTGTGCTGCCACCTCCCCGCACCCATTGTTAAAATCTTCTCTTCACCCCTGTTATGAAATGAAACAGGAATGTCTCTTAGAGTGCTTATTTTTTCATAAATTGTACTGGGCACTCAGAGGGTCTTTTCAGTCTATAAACTCATGTCCCCCTGTTGTAGGAATTTGTTTTAGACTAGTTCTCTGATAATTTCTTCCCTCAGTACCTTTCCGGTCTCTCTCCAGAATTCCTAATTAATTAGATCCTGGAGCTCTTGGACTAATCCTTTCATTTCCTCATCTTTTCTCTCCTGTTTCCAGCTCTGCTGCATCTACTTTCAGGGAGATTTCCTGGCTTAGATCTGTCTTCAGCTCTTACCAGTTGCTTGAGTATGTTCTTTAACCTGCTGTGCCAGCGTCTCCAGCCAGCCAGCGGGTTAATGACTGTACTTACTGTAGGGGAGCATTGTGAGGCTTCAGAGTCGCTGTGGGTAAGGCCTGGCTGGTAGCAGGTATACACTGTGGCACATAGTAACCGCCCAGCTCCTGCTCTTCTTGTTTCTACAACTGTTTTCCTTTTTGCTATCTTATTTTTCATTTTAGGAACTTTTTTTTTCTTTTATAGCAACTTTTTTTCCTTTCTCAGTTGAAATTTTATTGGTTGTTTTGAGGATCAGTATGCAGATGTTTCAATTTGTATTTGTTATAATGTACATTCTGAACATTTACAAAGCCATGCAGTTGTGAGATTTTTTTCTAAACAGTTATTCTCGCTTAAACTTTGGAAGAAATTTTTTTAAGAAGATATCAAGTACCAGTATCTTCAAATGTTGATAAACTGTTACATCATAAGTCCCACTAATTCACATTTAATATATACATACTCACATTTTCAGTCTTTTGCAGCGCATTAACAAAGTTCCTAGGAAAACTGGACAAGCATGACCAAAGATGTTACAGAGTACAGGCAGTTCGGACAGGCAGAGCCAAGATCAAGGAGTGGTTTTCTCTAGCAAACAGTTTTACTGAAAACAAGAGAGCAGAACTAATTTTAAAATGCTGAAGGAATAGTAAATGCACTGCGACTCAAAGTTGTCAGGTTCAGCGTGACTGATATAATAGGACATGAAAAGCACCCTTATCTGTGACCTTTTAAGCTGACACCCAAGACAAAGCGTCCCGTATTCAGTACCCAACTGTTTCCATTACTGTCTGGTTGTACTGAAAACAAGCAACCAGCAAATGGTTCACTTCTCCAAACAAACAAAAACAAAAAACCAGAGCATTTACGCTTGAAAAATGGGATGTGGTGGGATTCCCTCCTTCCTAAAAATGTTTCAAGATCTACTAAAAAATTTGTGTTTACAAAATAGCAGACAACAGTATTCCTGTGGGTTGTACAAGAAGTGACAGGGACTACTGATAAGATTTGGTGTGATTTGGCTTCTTTCTCTCCTGCTTCATCAGAGGCTGGACTCTCCGCCTTTCAGTTCTGTTTTCTGCAGGTAAACCTTCAGTTTCTAGTTCTAGTATAGAAACTTCTAGTCTTGAAGTGGTAGGTAAGCCACTTTGGCCTGTTTTTCCTTTACTCCTGAGTGGTTTTTGTTTTTGTCTGAAGAATTATCCTTTCTCTTTTTGGCTTTGTTTCTATTTTTGCAGGAGCAGGTTTAGCCCACAGCCTTGTCTTTTGGGTTCCTCCACCTCCACCCCTGCCCCTCAGGCGTGGCCAGGAGCCCCGGGGCAGGTGCCATGCTCTTCCCTCCCTCCTCCGCCCAGGCCCTGCCACCCGTAACCTATGGCAACTTTTTCTTGTCTCATGGATGCAATAATTTGTCCTCTTCCTGTGAGGGTGTTCATTGCAGTTTTTGCTCTTTTTAAGTTTTTGTTTGCTTCTTACATAGTTGCTGTTTTACCCAAGCTCTTTTTTGTTTTATGTGGAAGCTTTCTTCATGTGGAAGCTTTCTTCAAGTAGCTAATGTTCCTTATTGTTGGTTCATATTTAAAAGTGGAGCACTTAAAACTGAAAACAGAAACACTTTCCGAACATAAGTAAGTTTTGTCAACTTTGGTTTGATTTTACTTTGGGGTGATTAGATACACACCAACACGTTTTGTTTGGACGGTGTCACTGGCTGTAGGTTTCTTTTCTGTGGCCATTCAGTTTCACTGGGCAAGAATTGTTCCGTTTCCTGTCTGGGGATATATGCCTTGTCGCCAATATTTTTGTTGCTGTTGATTTTAAAGCTGTGGCGCAAGATTGGTGTTTGAGGTTCACCTTCAGTACTTAATCTGCCTCTTTGCAAACTGAAGAATGGGGGCTTCCTCCTCACTGCGAAGATGGTTTCATGTGTCTGGTCTGGTGCCCTGTAGGCTGCCCCTTCCCTGCAGGGGAAGGAGGAGGTGTGGCCATGGTGGCGAGGTGTTCGGCCTGTCTCTCAGCCCAGCTTTCTGTGGGACCTCCGCATCTAGTACTGCGCCTTTCCAGGGCTCTGGGGCGGGGATTAGCTTGTTTGTCATTAGTATTCCCCTCTAGCCACTTGGAGTTCAGCTTTGTTCAGCCTGCTGAGTCAGCTTCCACTCCACCATCTGCTTTCCATCTTCCTAAAATGTGTTAGTATTTGTGACCCACTGTCATCTCCTTGACTATTCCTTTTGTCCTTATGCATCTATACATTTTTTAAAATCCTTTACTCTTGCTTAAATGTGATCTGATAAAGGAACAGAGGTGATAAATGCATGTGAGTGTTTGCTGTATTTAACTGGAAGTCAGGGAAAGTATTACTGGTAAAGCAGATTGAAGTAGTTCATTGATAGACTTCAGTGTGCTCCGTAAATACCCCAGTCATTGACTGTACCAGGAAGTATTTAAGGCGTGCTTACTGTGTGCAGTCTGTTAGGATTGTTGTGATTTTTAAGATACTCTGCCCACACGATGCTTCTCTTCTATTGGGAAACAACAAACATCTAAAGAAACGAAAAATGTCGAGAGCAGTAAGTGCTATAAAGGAAAGTGAGGATAGGAAGTGATGGGAGCACATTCAGGGAAGACATCTGTTAGAAGGTAACGTTTAAGTGGAGGCCTGAACGCAGTAAGAGAGTGACTCGGGTGTGAGCGTCGGGGCGTGGGGTGTGCTCCAGGAAGGGAAGAGGAGCGCGGGCCTGGCACAGTCGGGGGATGGTGCAGAGGCCTGTGTGGCAGGGGTGCAGGGAACCAGAGGGGAGGCAGTAGGAGACGAGGGCAGGGTGGTAGGTAAGGCTGGACCGTGGATTATATAGGCCGTGGCAGGAATTTGTATTTTATTCTGTGTATGTTGGGAGCCATTGGAGAATTTGAGCAGATTGGCCCATCTTTGAGAGCTGAACCAGGAGCCTCCTGATCGTGCAGACTGCTGCACTGAGTTCCTGACCGGACAGACCACACTCTCCTCCCTGATGGTGGGCAGTTGGAGGTACTCCCTGTTTTTAAACCATTGCCACCCGTGGTCCCTGCTGTGGGATTCACCTGCATGGCCACGTCCATACCACACTACCCCCGCTCACTCCTTGGTCTGAAGTGGCTTCAGCCAAAGTATGTCCCTAATAGACTGAGTTGAACTGGTAAGATTCTTACTCGTAACAATTGGAAAGCAAGCATTTCTGTCCTTACATGAAATAATGCATTTCTGAAAAACCGTATGTTCTACACACTGAAAATAACAGAGCTTATGGGAAAATAGCATTCAGGGTCACCCAGAGCTCTAACAAAAATAATAATTAATCCTAATAAAAATGCTAATATAGTTTAAAAGATGTTAAGTTCCTAATAATCAAACATTAGAGTAAATATAGGATTTTGTCTTAAAGATAAGGTGAAAGTAGCTTTGTGGAGGAGGCTATAAGGAAGGGTTAAAGATGCTGAATTGCTGCATAAATGCATAGACTGGGAAGAACCATGCGATGAGCTTTTCCAAGAGAGAGCTCATGGCCAGAATGAGACAAGAGGAAGAACCTGGTGCAAACAGGCATCTCTCACAACACTGAATTCCTGGGAGCTTGAATGGCAGTGTGCTTTGCATTCTGATACAAAGTGTTAAGGGGTTGGGAGCAATCACTTGTAAATCAGGATGATCTCAACTGTTTCACGGTATCATTTCTCTGTTTACAGCTTTGTAGACTCGAATTCACATCCCAGAAATGATCTTGCAACAGAGCATGCTTTGCTAACAGTGATGCCTATTGAGCCCTTACTGTGTGCCAGGTACTGCTAAGCTCTGTGTATCGTCTTGCTTGATCTTAACGTGTACCTGTGAACTGGTGCTGTCACTTTTCAAAGTTAAGGAAGCCGAGGTTCAGGGGAGGGTTAAATGACATGTCTGCTGGCACATACATGGTCAGTAAAGGGCGGCAGTAGACGCTGGAGTTAGAGGATCATACAGTGTCGGGGCTTGAGCTGATGCCAGGTATGAGCCCAGGTTGCGGGGGAACATGGAGTGAGAGAAAGCCGGCCCTCAGAGAGAAGGCGGAGAGTGGCGAGACTCAGAAAAAAGCAAAGAGGAGTGAGCATGTGGCCTCAAAGAGATGGGGAGACACTGCCTCCTAGCACTCCACTTCCCAGGGGGCACGGTCGCACATCCTGAGCCTGGGTTCTGAATGTCCTTCCCGCAACTCTCCCCTTCACTTTAGCAACGTTGTGTGTCAGTTTTAACCAAACAGCCACTGCCAAAGCACCCAAACCCTGCCAGTTCTAATATTTGATATGTGTCTGGCATGTCACATTTCAAGGATATAAACTTCAGTTTTCAGTAAATAGATTAGTTTGACGCATTTTCCCTATGGAATTGGGTAAGTTATCTGTTGGGGCTCAAGCCTGTGGCTCTCGGCTATGTGCATGGGTTGGTTTGGGGTGGAGAGGGTGCTGTGGAGACAGGGAAAAAAAGGTCAGGAACCGAGGGAGAGGGCTTGAATTAGCTCCAGTGTTTTGTCTTTTTTAGTTTCTTTTTGACATGAAGGGTCAAGTGTAATCTATTCTGAAGTAACTGTGTGTGACCATTGTCCTGAATTTTATGGAGCCATTTCCTTTTCTCTATGACTACCACCTGTATATATGTTGCTCCATTATTTTTTCTAATTTTAAACTTCAAATCAAAGTAATTCTTTTGTACATCGTCTCTTAGTTGTATCATTTGCTCAATGTATGTTTTTGAGATTTGGTCGTGTTGGTGTGTGAATCTACAATTGCTTCCTTCTCTCTAGGCACAGCTACAGTGTTCCATTGTGTGCCTGTCTCATGTATTTCTTCTGCTGCTGGTGGACATTTGGACTGTTTATCACTCCCCCTTTGAGGGGTGACAGGGTGATGGTGAGACTGGGAACAGCATTTCCGGAAACCTTCTTACACATGTCTCTAGTGTACATGAGCAAGAGCTTCTCTAGTTACATGGCTGATAGCTGGCTGGCTTGCTTGAACAGGATGTTCATGTTCAACGCCAGACTGTTTGCAAAGGGTTTTACCCCGTCCATTGCCATCAGCATTGGCTGGATGAGAATTACCGATGCTCCACGTTCTCGCTAATGTGTAGTAGGATCTGACTTTCTAGTTTTTTGCCTATCAGGTGTATGTGAAATTGTTGCTCAGTATGGTTTATTTACATTTCTTCATTTATTAGTGACATTGAGCATGCTTTTTTATTTTTATGGGCTGCCTCATTTTATGAAACTGTGTTCTTAAATGTATTTTTGTTTTGTCTTTTCTCATTAATTAGTAAAAGTTCTTTATGTATTTGTGATGTTAATCCTTTTTGGTTATATGCTTTGTGAAAATATTCTCAGTTTATGGCTTATCTTTTCATTCTTTTTACAATATGTTACATTCCTCAGTTGTTCCCTTTTTTGTTTGCACTGTCTGTGTCTTAAGAAATTCATCATTACCCCAAAGTCACAATTGTTAAATTGTCTCCTAAAGACTGAGAGTTTTTGCCTTTCAGAGTTAGGCCTTGGACCCCCTGGAACTGACATTTAAGTATTGTATGAAGTTTTATAATAAGGGTCAAGTTTCCCTCACTTTATTCTTTGTCTTTAATTTAAGAGTGTTGGGAATATCCTTGGTCCTTTGATCTTCCGTGTAAATTTGTTAATTAATTTATTAAGTTATGTATACATAAAGAAAAAAACCTGCTGGCTTTTTAAAATTGGAATTACATTTACTTTATGAATGAGTTTAGAATTTGTATCTTGATGACACTGAGTCTTCCAATCTATGAACATAGCAAATCTTTCCATTTATTTAGTTTTAATTTTTTTCTGCAAAAATATAGCGTATCTTTCATTTGATTTGCTTCCCAATACTTTGTTCGATGATGCTGTTTGTAAATACTATAATAAAATTTTGTTTTCCAACTCTTGCTGGTACACAGAAATATGCAAGTGATTTTGTTTATAGATTTTTTTTAAAATTCAGCAATCCATCTCTTACTCTAATAATTTCACTATGTATTCATTTGGATTTTTTTTTTTTCTTGCCTTTCTTTCTTGGCTAGAATCTCCAGTACAGTGTTGAATAGAAGTGGTGAAAGCAGGCAGGGTTGTCTTGTTCCTCGTCTTTAAAAGCAATGCTTTCAGCAAGACAGTCTCTTCTGTTCCTAGTTGGAAAAAAAGTTGTTATACTCCAGAGATGTTGGGTTTTTATCACTTTTTAAAAAATCTACTGAGATAGTTATATGATCTGTCTCTTTTGATCAGTTAATACAGTGAATTAGATTGATTTCGGTTTTTTGGGGGAGGCAATTAGGTTTATTTGTTTACTTATTTATTATTTTTTAATGGAGGCACTAAGGATTGAACCCAGGACCTCGTGCATGCTAAGCACACGCTCTACCACTGAGTTGTACCCTCTCCCCAGATTGATGTGTAATGTTAAACCTATCTTAATTCTGGGGTTAATCTCAACTTAATCATGATTTACACAGGCATATTTTAGATTCAGTTTGCTAAATAACATTTTGTTTAGGAATTTTCCATCTGTGTTCATGAGTAAGACTGGCTTTAAATTTTCTTGAGTTTTGGTAGCAAGGTTTTGCTAGCTTCATAAAATGAATTGGAAGACAGTTCCCTCCTTTTCTACTTTCTGTAATAATTTATGTAAAATTGGAATTACTTGGTTCTTGAATGCTTGTAAAACTCCAGTTAAACTACTAGGGCTTGGAAAGATTTTTAGCTACTGATTTAATTTCTTTTATATTTAAAGGACTATTCAAATTGTTTATTTGTAATGACTCAGTTTCAGTAAGTTATATGTTTTCCTAAAATTTTGTTTCAACATCTAAGTTTTCAAATTTATTGTCATACAGTTGTTCAGAATAACTGTGTTTTATATTTTTAATGTTTGAAGCACCTCTGGTTACAGCTCCTTTCATTGCTAGTATTGCATTATTTGTGTCATCTCCCTCTTTTCTCCTTGCTTGCTTTTAACAGGGCTGCGTTCACAACTTCACATGTGCTTACCTGCCATCCGTATGTCATCTTCGATGAAGTGTCTGTGCAGGTCATTTGCCTGTTTTTTTTTTTAAGTTGTTTGCTTTCTTATTATTGAGTTTTGAGAGCTCTTTATATATTCTAGGTACATATCCTTTATCAGATACATGGTTTCCAAATATTTTTTCCTGATCTAGGCTTATCTTTTTATTTTCTTAACAATGTCTCTTGGAGAAGTTTTTTATTTTGAAGAAGTCTAATTTGCTTTTTTTATTTTATGACTTATGCTTTTGATGTCATATCTAAGAATCTTCACCTAACTCGAGATCACAAAGATTTTTCTCTGGTATTTTCTGTAGAAGTCTTATAGCTCTAGGCTTTACATTTATGATTGTCTTTTGTTATTTTTAGCTTAATCACAGTATAGTAAGAATCTGGTCTATATGAGTCTAATTTTTTGAAATTCATTAATTTTTAGTTTGGTGTGTTACCTTCTGGACTTTTTTCCTAAGTATTTGTGTTCATACATTTGTAACTCTAGAAATATGTAGGTTTTCTACTTTAAAGTAAATGGAATCACACTAGATAGATATGATGTTCTGCAAGTTGCCTGCTCTACTTTGTCTCAGATGTAATGATATATATATACATAATTCTTTTTACTATCATAGTATTGCATATATTAGAGCTACATTTATTTAGTCATTCTACTTTGAAGCACATTTAAGTTGTTTCTGCATTTTCTCAAACATAAATAGTGTTACAACAAACATCTTTGAATGTGACACCTCCTGGGCTCACATGTTGGGTGTATTTCTCTAGACTTGAAATAGAATTGCTGGATTGAAAGCTATCTGGGTGGAATTTTATCTTCAGAGTTTTTCTCTTTTTCTTTCTTTTTCTTTTTTGTTTTTAACAGTTTTTTCATAGTCATTTAGCCTTACATGCAAGAAGTACCTGGGCCCCACTGGTAAGCTCAGTTGTTAATTCAGGAAGCATTCAGTGAGTACGTACCGTGTGACCCTTCCTTCTAGGGGTTTTCAGTTCCTTTCAGACCCAGTGCTCCTACTTACTGCAGTATTTTTTAATGACCCTTTTGCTATACTAGAAAGATATTCATAGGAAATATAACCATTCATGCACAAATAACTTCAGAAACATCACTAATACAATAACTATATTTAGGAGAAATAAAAGGAAAGCAGTTTATTATAAAGTAGTGTGTATTTTGTGTAAATGCCTGGGCACAGCTGTCATGGAAGATGTAATGGAGAAGTCAGGTGGTTGCATGTGAGCTATGACAAGAGTAGTAAGATGAAGCTATTTTGTAGGTGAAATATAGAGAGTGGATTTGGAATAAAGTTAGTTTAGAATAAGAGTAGACCTATTTGTTTGTAATACAGTAGGAGAAAAAGAGTTACACAGGAAATGAGGAAGTATAATGTCTTGTGAAAGAGCTGAGCCTTACGTAGAAGGATTGTGTCAAAATAATTTCCTCTGGTTTGTCTGTAACAGGATGAATGGTGACGATCTGTCAGTGAGGACATCTCCTTTCTTAAAATCTCACTGCATTTAAGGTTTATACCTTTAATGTCTCATACTTAAAAAGGGCTTTGGATACGACACCCTTTTATTGGTCCCAGAATAGTGGATTAGAAATTTTTTTTATCTACCCAGAAAAAAAACAAAAACCAAAAAGCTAAACATTTTTTATAGGAAGAAATAACATCTAACTCAAGATCAGTAGTTTTAACACTGCACTTGATTTCCTCAGAGCAATTGTACAGG